AAATAAAATCTTAAAAAAAAAAAAAAAGGAAATAAGAAGGTGGTTCTTCTGTGGCTAGGTGAAGAGAGGGGAAGAGAAGAGACCCGTGTAAGCACTCCCTCACTCCTCTAAATCCCCACAGCACCTTCTCTCTACTTCCCTCATGGCAAGTATACCTGGAGCTCCCTGAAGACCAACTACTGAGTCTTAGGCCAGGGCACCACTGCACAGTCTAGGTGCTCATCAGTTACTAAACGATTGTGGGAGGATTAAAAGTCAACTGCAGTGGGAAAGAGATGAGATAGCAATTCACACTTTGGACAGCACAAACGTTCAGATTTACCCTAACTGACCATTTTAACTAGCAAGGAAAACATTCCTTGCTAGTTAAACACTCACTGAAAGGTTGTGTGGTAGGTAGAAAAATGGCCCCGCGAAGATGTCCAGATCCTAATCTCCAGAACCTGTAAGTATTTTACCTTACATGACAAAAGGTACTTTGCAGATATGATTATGGTTATGGAATCGGAGATGGGGAGAGTAGCCTGGATTACCCAGATGGGCCCAATCAAATCACATGAGTCCTTAAAAACAGAGAACCTTTTCCAGATGGGTCAGAAAGAAAAAGGAAAAGAAATCTGAAGCATGAGAGAAACCTGATCCACCACTGATGGCTTTAAGGATAGAAGGGGGCCACGAACCAAGGAATTTGCTTGGCCTCAGAATCTGGGAATGGTCCTCTGCTGGGGGCTGGCAAGAAAATGGGAATCTCAGTCCTACAACTGCAAGGAAACAAATTCTACCAACAACCCCACCTAGCAAGTAAACGGATCTACTACTAGAGCCTCCAGAAAGGAACACAGCCCCACCAAATATTTTGATTTTAGCCCGATGAGATCTGTGTCATACGTATGATGTACAGAATTACAAGATAATAAATTTGTGTTGTTTTAAGCCACTACGTTTGTGGTAACTTGTTATGACAGCAATAGGAGATTACAGGTATGCAGGCAGACAAACTAGCATGATTCACTTTAAGCCACAAAAGACAAGCTTAAAGAAATTCAAAGTCAGGGCAACAGAATCATGCCTAAAAAGGCCAAACAATGGAAAGAAAAGCAATTGCATGTTTAACACAGGCATCCTGAAATAAGAAGCAATCTGGTTCCTCCAAGAAGCAGGAACCAAGAAGGAATAGCCCAAGAACATGAAGGCCCCTGAGAGACCAGAGGACCAAATGCAAGACTAATAGAAACAAATGCTAAAGACTAAAGACAATGTGAGAGAATCAAAGAAGTGAGGACAAGATTAGGACAAAAGAAAGACAGATAGAGCCTGGCATAGTGGAAAAAAAAAAATCAACCTCAAGAAGGAAATCAATGGCCACAAAACACGAACAGAACATTCCATCAGGCCAAACAGATATAAGACCATGGTTTAACTTTAGCATAGTGAGAAATAAACCTTTTTGGGTATCTTTGTAAGATTAAACCTTTGACACCTATTCCCTATTGGTTTTTACCAATAATACTTAATTAATCCAGGCATGTACCATAATTACTTTTTGGAATATTGTAAAGTTTCATATGCCCTGTGTATTACAATTCAACAGAGCTAAGGCAGAGCCTAGAGTATGTTGTCATTGTTGCCATTTTCAAATTCTGAAGTGTGCACCTGGTTCAGAAACACTGGTCTCATCCAGTGTGGAATATCTCATCCATACCCTTAGTTATTCAGATACCCTTCAGATACCCTTAGTTATTCTATACCCTTCCGTCATTCATAGCTCTCCTGAAACCTCACCTACCATGAGGCTGACTACAGGTATCTCAAGGTATCTCAATTATTTGAACAGTTTTCCATAATCTTTAGTAATCCAAGAACTTCTATTTTAAACACAAGGACCTAGGGAACTTCAATTATTTGTAATAAGAAGGAAACAAAAATGGTTTCAGAGCCAAATAAATGCCATAAAATCCATGACTAAACGAATGCTTTATTCCCCTAGACAGACTTTGGGTCTTAATTACTTGGAAACTACTTACTCCTATTGCCATATATATTTCTACTGGTTAAAATCCAAACTTCCCACCATGGTCTACAAGGCCATGCATGATCTGAATCTTACCTGCCTCTCAACTTTCATTTCATTTCCTTCTCCCCCTTGCTCACTACTCCTCCATTCATACTGGTCTTTCATGTCCTCAAATACATTCAGCTCACCCCCATCTCATATCCTTTGCATGTTGCTCCCCCTGCCCAGACTCTTCTTCCACTTGTTCTTCAATAGGCAAACTCCCTCATGACCTTTAGGTCTTAGCTCAATGTCACCTCCTCAGAGAGGTTTCTGACCACCCTATTATTTTATAAGCACGCTGTTTAGTTTTTTCATAACAATGACCACAATTTTTAATTATTTTATTAATGGGTTTGTATGTCTCTAAAGGAAGCTCCATGAAGTCAGCAACCATGCCTACCCTGTTTACCATTTATCCTTAGTATGAGAAAACAGTAAGGCATGTAATGAACATTCAGTATAAATGCTCAGGAAAAGGGAATGTTTAAGTAGGTAGGTGGGCGGATGGGTGCCTCGAGTTATAGTTCAAATGCAGCAAATCCAAAGCAGAGAAAAGCTAAGCATACCAGTAGCAGCAGGACCACCTATCAAAGCAGACACAAAACCTGGAGAAGTGATCCCGAGTCACCCACAGCAGGCCACAGAACAATACACAGCTAAAGAGAACCTCAGGCCAAGGCTACAAGTATAGCACAATGGCAAAACCTCTAGTCATGATGAGCGGCCAGCTATCCAGAAAAAGTAACTGTGCTCTAGATTCATATATTACAAAAGCAAGGGAGTAGACTAAAATCTGTACCCAAAATGGTCAAAAGTTTAATACTGGAAAGGAAATGCCACCTAACTTTGAAGTGACTGCTGGAGACAAAGGCCAAAGAAGGGCAGGCGCACCCTCCCAGAACAAAGGTCAGAGAGAGAAGATGGCTCACCCAGGTAAGCCAGGACAGAGGTAGGGGCCATACCCGGGAGTTGCTGCCAATACGGGCAACGAGGGTGTCAAGGATGGTGTGGGTGTCATGCCGGTGTAACAGCAGGAATCGCAGGAAGGTACGGAGCAAAGCAGGCTCTGAGATACTCCGCAGGAAAAGTTCCAGATAGGCGGTACTGGCGATCATCTCCTCCACAGAGGTCTGGACGAAGGGAAGGGAAAGTTTGGAGATTTAGGGCTCCCCTGCACCTATACGGAGTCATTTTCCCTGAGTTCTGAGGAGGAAGCAGGAGCAGACAGGGAAAAAGGGAGGAGTACCCAGCCCACTGCCTCCCACATTGGTCCTGGCATTCAGGTCACCACCCCTCAGCCTAATACCCTAATCTGCCTTGCCACCCATAATTCTCACCTTGTGCAGGGCAGGGCCCATGACAGGCACCAGAAACCCATTATGGATATAATCAACTAGCTGCTTCTGCACCAAAGGGTGAGCCACCTGTAGGGGTGCAAGAGAGAGGGAGGAGGAATGTGAGGTGGCCACTGCCTGGAAGGGAGCAGAATACCCTACCCCCAAGATGGCAGAATAGCAGAATTCCAGGGAATGTGCCCCCTCCCCCATCTCCCCAGAATGACCAAAGACCAGACCTCCTGGGAACCCGAGTCCCACCTGAATGACTGCATTGCAGAATTCTAGGGAACTCATGAACAGCGCAAGGGCTGGCACGCCCAGCCAGTCCTCCCGTCGCAGGCAGTGCCAATCATCCCCTGGAACCTCAATCTTTCGGGGCAGTGAGGAGTACAGGGCACTCAGCCCTGTGGCCAGCACCTGGGGGCCATCCCCAAGGACAGGTTACCAAAAGCTCAGGCAATATAAAAAAGGGGAGCAGGGGAGTTATTAACCCAGAGTTTTGACAGGAGTGGGAAAAGAGCTATACCCAAAGCACATATTTAGTTACCGAATGTGCTGGGAACACTGGCCCTGGGAACACTGACCCATGAAGAGCCTTAGTACCTGTGCTATCCACCTAAGCCATGTTTCATCCCCACCCCAACTCCAGGTACTGCTTTCAAACCTAGGGGGCTACTACCTAAAGGAGGACCCCATACATAGCCCCTCCACATCTTCTGGATAGCAAGGTGCTGTCCAATGTCTACACACCAGACCCCACCCCCCCATCCCAGGAGGTGCTGACCGGGCAGAAGTAAGAGTGATCTGCAATGTAGCGGCCCACAGTGGGACTCCCAGCTGACAGAGCCATGAGCAGGAGTAGGGCGTCACGAGCCTGCTGGCCCAGTGTGCCCTCTCGATGGACGAAGGGAACAAGGCGAGAAAAGAGGAGAAGACGGGGGGCAGCTCCAGGCTCAGGAGGTGGCTGTAGGAAGAACTCGAGCAATGAAGGCTCCCGGGCCAGACACACACACAGCTGGCTGAGAAGTAGCACCAGGCCTTCATCTAGTGCTGGGCTACTGGGCACAGGGCGGCCACACGCATCCAGCAAGGTCAGCAGAGCCTCACGAACCGGTCCATGTCGCAACAGCGGCTGGCGAGCTTCGCTCACTAGCATCTCAAACAGCTTCAGTTGCTCAGCTCGCCGTTCTTCAACCCCATCCCCAAGCTCATCCCACTGAAGCTGCCACACCAACACACGGGTTAGCAGGTCCTCACGCAGAGCAAACTCCAGCAAGGGCCCAGGGGCCGTGGGGGCTGAGGGGACAGCACGATCTTCTACCAGCAGTGTCAACATCTGGTAAGTGTGGTTGCGCACAGCACTGAGATCATCTGCACCCCCAGGAGCTGCCCGAGGACCTTGCCGCTCCAGGATTCGCACCGCCTAGAGGAACAGGACAGAAGATAGCAGGAATCTAAGACAATATGATGACTAAATGGGATGGTGAGAGAACACAGAAGGTTGGAAGGACTCAGGCAGCCAGTAGATCAGGCCATTTGGCATAGAATCTCCTACCTGGGACCAGTGATTCTTGAAGACCATGAGGCAGGTCTCAGGGTCAGCCATGACAGGGGTCTGCAGACTGGCCCCCTGAGGGACACGGTGTCCAGGGCCCCGGGAGGCCAGTCTGCTCAGCCAGTTCATCCTCTCCATGAGGCAGGCTGGGCAGGGCCAGCGGCCAGAGGGCCACACTCTGAGAGTCTGCCAGCTGGAGGCTTTCTCCACTTGTGTCTCTAGTCTGCTTCATCCGGTCTGCAGGAGCCAGTAGCTGGCCATGGAGCCAAAGAATACACCAGGCTGGAGAAGTGAGCCCAGAGGTCACTGCCCAGGCCAGACCTGCAAATCTAATTCAAAGAGAGAGAGAAAGGAAGAGATCAACAGGAGTTTGCCTCTCTCCACTCCCCAACAGGAGGAACCCAGAGCCACCAATCCACTGAGAATTCCGCGTACACATGCACACACATAACATCTTAAATGTAATGTGTTTAAAACAGAACTCACTTCTACCACCCAACCTGTTACTCCTCCAGCCTTCTCCATCTCAAGAACCGATACCAACATTCACCTACATGCTCAGACCAAAAACTTGGGCATCATCCTTATTTCTTCTTTTCCTTAATTCCAATATCCAGTTCATCAGCAAACCCTATCACCTATACCCTCAAAGCATGTCTTACTATTGCAATAGCTTCCAATCTGGTCTCCATGCTTCCAGTCTTGCCTCCCACCCCCCCTTCACAGTCTTGATCTGACTCCAACCACCTGGGAGTACTGAGGAAGAAATTTTTTTCTACCAATCACAGTCCCTCCCTAGAAGCCTACCCAGTAGGAAATAACCCAACAGACCCTTAACTAGCTGAATACACACATAAGAGGTGGAAATCTAGAGCAAACCAAAAGAGCAGAACAATTTTCATTCCCGCAAAGAACACAGGGACACATTCCCATACACACACATACACCCAACTCCTGCCAGATATATCCAACACTCACTCCTGGGGACATGACAGGACACCCTCACTAGAGAAAGGGGAAAACTACCAAAAGAGCTGTTGGCCTAGACAATAACTCACAGCTCCTTCTCCAACGCACCCCTCACCCCCTCAGCATTATTATCTCTCACAAGTACAAAAACTTCAGAGGAAAGGTGTGGTTCAGTTGTCCTTCCTCTTTAAGCTCAACAAAGGCTGAAGGAACCCAGAGACCTGGCACCAGCCCCACACTTAGCCCTCGGGTTAAAACCATTCCCTTCCACCCAGATACTCTCTCTCACCATTACCAACTCACAACTAAAGGAAGGTAGCAACTAGGCTTAAGGAAACCTATACAACAGGAGACAGTCTTACAATAAAGGGCAGGGCCAATCCTAAACAGCAGGCAGGGCTCACTCACTGATTAACTTAAGTACATCCATACTGATAAAGTACTGAGTACTCTGCTAAATAATCAATGGAAATACGAAGACAGATAAAAACAGTTGGATGGGGAGCATTAATAAAAACTCCAATGAATATTATAAACAGAGGTATTTACAAAAGAGTTACAGGGACATGAAAAAAAGCAACTAATTCTGCCTGAGAGATTATAACAGGATTCCAGAAAAGAGGTGATATCTGACTTAAGCCCTTAGCAATGAGATACTGGCCACAAAGAGAGCAGAGGGAAAGGCCTTCATATTAAAAACAGTATGTACAAAAATATGGCACTGTGAAAGAACATGACAAATCTGAAAATCAGTTCCAAGTTTGGGGTGGCCTAATCACAGAGTACTTAGAGAAAAAAGAAACATTATTGAGTTGAAGAGTAAACATGTGTGAAGGTTATAATTATCACTGAGTATCATGCTAAAAAGTTTAAGTTTTATCTACTGACACCCTGGAAACAAAGGAGGTTTTTAGACAAGGAAACGACAAGATCAAATTTGCTTTTAAAAAGATGTCAGATAGCAGTCTAAGGTGGAATAGAGAGAGGCAGATGACAGATAAAGTAAGGTGGTAAGAGCAAGATTAGAAAAGATAAACATGAGATTCACCTTTATCTTAACATGTCCCAGGTGATAATGAAATTATTTACACATGTAATATCCCTGCCAATAATAGCAAGCTCCTTCAAAAGGGACCATACCATTCATTCTTCTTTGCAATTACAGTGCCAACAGTGCCTGGCATTCAAAAATGCTTGTGGAACTGAATGCTAAATGAAAAATAATTATAGCTAACATATACTGAGCACTTACTACATGGCAGGCTCTACTCTAAGCACTGTATGTAGTAGCTCATTTAAACCCCATTAAAACTCTAGATGTACTAGTATCTCCTTTTTACACATGAGAAAATCAAAACCTACGAAGGTCAAATAAACTGTCAAAGTTAGCCAACTGGTAAGTAGCAAGACTGGGATGCAAATGCAGATCATCTGCATTCACTTACCTTGAACAAACAAGACCTGACAAATGGATGGAGGATAAGAGAAGACCCTAATATGAAGTAAAGAGATTCAGTAAAAGATAATGCCATTAATAGGTGAGGAACACATAACAAAGGTGTTTTAGAAAAGAGGATGAATACGCTTTGTTAAGCTTTGAGACACATTATGCTATGAGACACCTATAGGATATCCATGATGTCTAGAAAGCAAAGAGAAATATTACACTTGAGCTCGAGTGAAATCAAGACTACAGATATATATCCAGGAGTCAATAGCTTATAGGTGATAGATGAAGCTATGGAGATGGATGAAATCATCCAAAGACAACAGCAGACCTTGAAAGGAGCTGAGGGTGACATCCTGGGGAAAACCAGAAATTAGGAAAGCAAAGGAGGAGTGTCTTTGAGGACTGTGAAGCTAGCCAGAAATGGAAGGAAAAACCAAGAAATAATGATAATCTAGAAATCAAGGTAAGGAAGTTTCAAGAAAGTGGAGATTGCCATAATGTATGATCTACAAAGAGACTAAGCAGAATGAAGATTAAAAATGATCAGTCAGTTTTAGCAATCAAGTTTTAGATAAACTTAGGAAAGTAATTAGTTAAAGAATGACTAAGAGGCAAAAAAGTGTAACATGCAATACAGGAAAGTCAGTGACACAGGAAAGGATGAAAATAGGGCAATAGCTTAAAGAAGCTAGGAGGGGTGGGAGGTAAGGAGTCAAAAGAAAGAGTTTTTATCCTTTGGTTTTGTTTTATTTTAGGATGGAGAGCCTCAAGTATGTCTGTCAAGTGAGGAAAAGTAGTATAAAGAAAGTAACAGGTTGTGGATAAGTAAGATGGGGATAACTGACAGAAAAATCAGATAGATATAGGACTAATCTGAGAAAAAGAGGTATAACACTTTCCCTGAGGAAGGAGGAAAATAGTAATAAAGGATGGGTGCCAGTTCAGGTAAATCTGAAATCTGAAACAGGGACGCTAATATCTACTACCACCCTCCACCCACCTAACCTTCCCTCACTCACTCACCCAAGAGAGTGGGAGTGGCAAAGAAGAAGAGTGAGAAGGTGGTAGAGCCACAAAACGGATGCTCGGTCTTTCCACACATGGTTTCCACACAGTGGTTTCCACACATGGTATGGACACTCTAGTAGCTACCAGCAGCAGGGTTGTACTGGAAAAGGCACTTATCTGTCTGCCCAAGTCCTTAAGCATGGGCTGGGGAAAGCAAAGCCAACAGTTGAGAATACTGGTAAGAAAGGTCCCCTTTTGGTAGCACTCTCACTGCTAGTAGCCCTGGAGACTGCATCTCCCCTTGCTGGTTTCCTTAAACTCTACCCATGCCTTTGTAAATATAATCCCTTTATTAAATTCTTCCCAAACCAAATGTGTGCGACCTGCCCCCTGCAAGGACCCTAACTGGTACAAGAGCATTACTGGTTAGAGAATGCTTTCTCAATCATATCTCATTTGAGGACTGAAAATAAATAGAGGACCTAAGGTCAAGTAAGAGTAACACAAAGTAGTAGGTAAAACAGGAGCTCCAGTTTGAATCTCAGTCCACCATTTTCCAGCTGTGTGACTTTAAATAAATCACTTCACACATGGGAGCCTCAGTTTCCTTATCTATAAATTCCTGATGAAGTACTGTTACTGTTTTAAAAAATAAAATAACCTATGTAGCACACCAGGCATATAAAGCAGGTGCTCTGTAAATAACATTTTCCTTTCTCCCTTCCCTCTCCCGATCCTATCTGACCAAGGTACTCTCACCTCTGACTGAGAGATCTAACCTGCTCTCACATGTCCATCCCTACCACCCCACACTCATACTCTGATGAGTTGAAGAAGAGCCAAGCATCCAGTCTCAGCAAAGTAAAGCCTTAACATGTCCAAAACTAAACTGCCTTCTGCTCCTAGAACTCAATTCCAAAGATTAACAACCAACTCCTACCTTGCAATATAACTGGGGTGCCCACTTCTGCTTCACTGCTTGACCAACAAAGGGCACTGCTCACAGACCCAAGCAGGATAGCCTCCAGGACCTTTCTTCATCCCCCCATCTCCAACTCTCAAAGACCTCAAAGAGAAGAGCCACACTGAAATCAGTGTCTCAGAACACAAAAGCTAACACTTAACCTGGGCCCCCTTCACATACTGCAAAAACACAAAAGAAGACCATAGCTTGGTGTTCCTGTCACCTACTTAAGACTCTCATTCCCTGCTAACTGTGCAAAGTTCAAAACGAGACAAAGAGAATGGAATCACCACCCTATTACTGTGCCCTTTCCTCTCATTGCAAAGTCTAGAAAAAAGAGTAGACCCCTCTTCCCAGATTTACTTTCAGGCTCAGCCACAGGGGAAAAGGGGGAAGAAAGAGCTGATCTTTAGACCCACAAACAGCCAAGGTCAGTCACTCACCTTACAGCACAAAATACAGCCTTACAGGCACTTTCAGCAAGGGTATCCACCAACCTCAGAATAGTAGGCACAGGGCAGGAAGTGGCTCAGCCTTCCTTATGAACCTTTGCCCTGGGAGAGGCAAGAGAGGGAGGGAGCTGAGAGCAGGGATACACCTGCAACACCTGCAGCAGACAGGGAGAGACCAAAATGATCTTTCAAGAACAGGTCAGTAAAGTCCTGAGGTTTCTCTCCCATTGTACAATGGTTCTTCCTAGGCAAGATGACTGATTACCGACATAAGAGGCATGAATGAGCCATTACCTTAAATACTCAAGTAGAAAGATCCGATTAAAACCTCATAGGAGTACGAAAGGGCGGGGGAGGGGAGGGGAACCTCACAGGAGCCTACTAACCTAGAGCTCAGCTTACACATATCCTCCCCGCTTGTCCATCCATCAGCCTACATATATAAGACAAATGGGCTATCAATGTGTGGTCCCAACTCACTCCCTCCCCTCTCCTCAAGAACCTCTGCTTCTTGCAGGGAATCTCACCTGACTCCAGCACAGCCTTTACACAACGTGAACCTCAATCACAGTGACTCCCCTTTACAGCAGTGAATCTCCACGTCACACATGGCTCTTTCTCCACCCCTCTTGGGTGATGATGACAAAGATGTCAAAAAGAGGAGGAGAGAATGAACTAGATCCTAAAGAACAAGGAAAGTTCACTGGGCAGAGAAGAAAAAATATTCTTAGTAAGGGAAACAGCTATTACAAAGATCTCAAGGCTCAAAAAAGTAACATGTTCGTTAGGGAACTGTGAACAATTTATTCAAGCTAGAACACAAAGTAGGGAGTGGCAGGAGATGAGGCTGGAGAGGTGAGTTGAGGCCAAATGATGCCATATTAAGGAATTTGGATGTTGTCCTACAGAACACAAAGAGCCAAAAGTTTTTAAGCAAAGCTGCTCCATGATTACATTTGTATTTTTAGAAAGACCATTCTAGGGACAGACTAGAAAAGAGCAAGTCTGAAGGCAGGAGAGTGTTGCAGGGTGGGGGGGTATCCAGATGAGAGAGGAGGAGAAGTAAACTAAAGCTTTAACAGTCAAGATGTAGCCATGGAGATGAAGAGGAAAATAATTTAGAGAGAAACATATTAAGATTTTGGTGAGTGATTAAATACAGGGGGTGAAGGAGCAGAAAGAATGAAGAGGACACTGAAGTCCTTGCCTGGACTGAGATAGAGCATGTGATACAACAGCACACTCTCAGAGCAAAGACACTGAGTGCTGTTTTGGATGTATAAATCTGTAATACCTGTGCAGATATATGGTAGACCATGGACTATATATGACACAGGGAGAGACTACATCCCCATGATATGCTTTTGTATTTCACTCTCTCTCTCTAAATTGAAATCATCTTCTCATGTATCTACCTCTCCCAACCTGACTGCGAATTCCTTGAGACCTCAGAGGACCGTGTCTTATTTATCTTGTTATCTCATAAAATGTAAGCTTCATAAGGACAGACTACATACTGAAAAAGTATGTGCTGAATGAATAAATGAATTAATATATGAATGAATGAACTTGCTCTCCCAGCACTTAGCAGAGTGCCTGGTGTATAGCAGATATGGAATAAACGGTTACATACAGCACTCCAAACATGTTTCTATCTCTACATCACTACCCTCATTTATGTTACTTCTTCTGAGATCTACCACTGGGCTGTATGTCTAAGTCAAAATCCATCTTACTTCCTGCACTACTATTTCAACAGAGTTCAATATAGCTTACCAAACCCAGTGCTTTCTCCAGAACACCCAAGAATTTGGACAGTCCCTAACAATGCTCTGACGACTTGACTCATCCTACCACTATCACAGTGTGATCCAGGTATTAAGTATACCTACCTGTTCCCATGTCATTGCCACAATATTAAACAGAACCCTCATCTCTATGTCACCCTCAAAGTCTCTTTAACTCTTTTGGAACCACATTAATACTACAAATCATAAAAACTGCTTTTTGCCAGTATAATGTCCTCCGAGTCATCACAACTCTTCCCATACCTAAGGTGCCATTTAGTCCACATGGCTCTCACTCTCTGCTACAAACCTTCTTTCCCCAAGTCACCCACTCTCAGGAAACCAAAGTTTGGGTTCAGCTTTGCCACTTTATCACTATGTGACCTCTGGTTTATGAATTTGATTCATCATCTATACTGCACAAAGTATGTAAACCCAGTGAAATGTGAGATTGAATGAATGCTGTTCAAATGTCAGAAGTTATCTAGAATTAGTCTAAACACAGGCTTTCTCAACCATAACAACAACAGCCACGCTTCATCACTCTAAATTTCTCCATTTCAGGAACTAGTAAAAATAATTTCTAAAAAATTTTAAAAATAGGCTTGTTACTTATTTTGGCAAATAAGACCATTTCTTTAAAACCCACCATCTACTGTCACCATTATTTCATCAGTCAGAAAGCACTTTAACACTAAAAGAATAATCTCAAAATGAACTTATCTTTATGAAAAACTCATATTTCATATGTTATTTTTCTCTCCTTCCTCCTTGGATGGATGAAATCTTTATCATGAACTGGCACTATCCTTGGCCCAGTGTTTAGGAATCACTGCTCCAAACCCTGCTATGATACATGTTGGTTCTACAGGGTTCTGCCCATCCGGGTAGATGGTCAAGGGTTCCACTAGCATGAAAATGTTTGGCCTCCAGAGAGAAGCAATGAAAACATACCATGGGTCCGAACAGAGGCTGAGCCTCTAGAACAGAATGGCAACTTGGGCTTGGGCTACCCCTAATTCTCAAGAGAACAGTCCGGATAGGAAAGGCCTAAATCTCCCTGAGGTTGGGGAAGGTATCTGGGCTCTGTGGTCGACTGTCACTAGAGAGGAAAATTTAGTGGTGGGAAAGTGAAGTGCCCATTATAACTGAGTGCTAACCCAACTGTCTAGAACTTTTAAAATGTTCGTGTGAGTGTGGGTTGGCAGGGAGAAAGGGACCTGCAAAATACTAATAAAGTAAACCCAAAAATGTGTCATGGACAGAGGAATGAGTTGCAAAGGGATAGGAGAAAACTTCTGGGGGCAGTAGAAATGTTCAGTATCTTGAAAGTGGTGATGGTTTCACAGACGTAAACATATGGCGAAACTTATGCACATTTTAAATATGAGCAGTTTATTGTATATAAATTTACCTCAATAAAGTGGAATTTTTTTTAACTGTAAGAAACTGAGAGCAAAGCCATTCTGTTTGAGAGCCTAAATATAGTGTTGTATGTAACAAACCATGTGACTCTCATGAAAGTAGAATTAGCTACTGAAAATGGTTAGGCCAATTTAGATGACAACCGTAAGAGCCCCACAGCTAAGCACAGGTGAGGAGCAGCATCAGAGTAAGGCTGCCCAGAAGCAGTGGAGAGAAAACAAACATAGGCTGTCGCAGGCAAAAGAAAAAAGAAAAAAAAACCTCCATGAGAGGGACCATCTCCAAGTTTGGAGTCCCAAAGAGGAACTTGAGAAACCGGCAGTTTCAGTGATTACTCTGGTTGAAAACTAAGCCTCAAAAATAATTTTCATTATCATAATTATTACTGCCCATGACGCCTTCATTTTTCTGTCCTCCAAAAGCCAAGTGCACAACATTTCCATCCAAGCTGTCCTACTCGGTCTGAAACTAGGCAGGACACTGGGCAGGACACTCCATCGAAGTAGGCTCCAGAACCAACCTCAACCTCATCCGAGCCTCACAATCCTCATTCCTTCCCTCATGCCCTAGCCTCAACTCCCTCACCCATTCCCCACCAGCCCGCACGCTCCCGCCTTTGCCCTTTACTCTCCCCTCCCCGCAGAGGCCCCACTCTGGCCCCAGGGTTGCCCTCACCCCTGCCCACAGGTGCTTCAAACCCCTCACTAAACCGTGTTCACAAGTCCCTTTCCCTTGGCTCCTCGAAAAGCACCCCTAGCCCCTCTTCTTGCCCAGCTCCGCACTTGCCCGCTCACCCTTAGGCTCTTAAGCTGCTCCCCTACCTTAGACACTCACACCCGGCCCCTTACCACATGCCAGCCCCTCACCCTGTCCCCTCAGAACCAGTACAGTCACCAAATCCGGTGCCGTCATTCCCCAGTCCCTCAGCCCCTCACGGGCCTCTCCGGGCCCTGCGGCCCATACTTGCCGTTCACTCACAGAACCCCGATCCTGACCAGGCCCGATCGCCGCAGCCCCGCTAGGTGAGTTCAGGCCGCCGCCATCGCTCCTCAGGCGCACCAGCCGCGCCCCGCCCCGCGCCACACGCAACCCGCGCCCCCGCGCACCCCACGTAACCGCCCAGCGACGCACCGCTGGGCAGTGGCGTGCCAGCTCATTGGCTGGACCCGGCCAGAGCCGGAGCGCCGATGCTTGTTTCCTGGCAACGGCCGAGCGCCGGGGCGGGGTCGCCGACGGCATTCCGAGCGAGGAGTACCGCCTCTTCCCTGGGTCCCGCCCCTTCGTTCTGTAAACCCCGCCCCTCCGAAGGACTCCAGCGTGTCATAGGGAAAGACTTCTGAGGAGGCGGAGGCCCGTAGGGCGGGGGCGGAGCCTGAGGAGGAAAGGTCGAACCAGAGGGCAGAAAGCGGGACCTAAGGAGGGACGCGACTTTAGGAGGCACGGAAAGGCCAAGAGCGGGGCTTAGGAGAGAACAGAGGCTGGAAGACTAGCGTGGGGGGCGGGGCCAATGGTCCTGGGCGGTGCTTAGGGTGGAAGAGTGGGCTGGACGGGGCGGAGCTAGCACGAAAGGTAGGTCTGAGGGGAGGAGTCAGTAGGTACGTGGGGCCTGTGGAAAAGCTGAGCCCACGAGAGGGCTGACTGCAGACTAGGTCGTTTTTGCCCCATCTGCGCGCACGGCTTGGACTGTACCCGGCCGATGACCGCCCCTTCCTAGCTTCCCCAACACCAGCTACTCCGTGATCCGCCTTGGACACCGTCTTGTTCATTAACTCAAGGAACACGGAGTAAGCACCTCCACGCCAGGCAGGATTCCAGCCAGATCAATTAGAACCCATATCTGCCCTGCAAGACCTCAGCCCTTAAGGGAAAGAAGGGCAAAAGGGGCTTAGGGAAGCCTTCAGGAGTAAATGATGTCTGAGCAGAGAAACAAGCAAGAGTGTGGTAAACTAAGAGAAATGAAAGTTTCAGATCAGTTCGGTGGTTTAGTTCAAACTATTCCCAATGTTAATTCCCTGGTTTTGATCATTGTACTCTGGTTATATAAGATGATAACAGGGGAATGTGGCTAAGAAGTTTACGGGAACTTTCTACACCTTTTTTGCAACTTTCTGTAAGCCTGAAATTCGTTTAAAATAAAAAGTATTTAAAAAGAAAAAGAAATGGATCAGCCCATACCAAGGCAAGGAAGAATGAACAACAGGGGGGAGGTGCTTTGGGAACTACAATCAGTACAGCACGTCTGGAGCCCAGGCAACATGCAAAGGAAACACTAGCGATGAGGCTGAAGACATGAACAGAGGTCAGGAATGGGAGATTTGTATGCCATGTGAAGGAGTTTAGATTTTATCCTTGGGATAACAGAGAACTATAAAGAATTTTATACATGGTCAAATTGGTAAGGCCCAAACTGAAGTAGTAAAGTTACAGAGAAATGGACATGTGGACATTAGAAGGTAGGGCACCAGGGCTTGATGCCTGGATGCATATGAAAGGAAAATAAAAGGATTAAAAACTGATGCTTAGTTTATATAAGTTCATTCACAGGCAAAACTCAACTATGGTATTAGAAGTCAGGCTAGTGATTATGCTTGGAAAAGCAAGGACTGGAAGGGGGCAGAGTGGGGTTCTTATGAGTGCTGGTTACATGGGTGTGTTCACTTTATGAAATTCATCAAGCTGTATACTTAGGAAATGTGCACTTTTTTAATATATGTTTGTTCTGGCTACCATACTGCATAACAAATCATCCCAAACTTAGTAGTGTAAAACAACGACTATTTCTTTATGCTCACAGATTCTGGGAATTCAACCAAGACACAGCAAGAATGGTGTATCTCTAGTCCATGATGCCTGGGGCCTCATATAAGATACCCGAATGCCTGGGGGTGACTTGAGGCTGGTGGCTAGTGTCATCTGAGGCTTCTTCACTCTTCTTCACATGTCTGATGCCTGGGTGGTACAGCTCAAAGGCTGAGCTCAGCGGGGACTGTCAAACACAGTACAGAGACATGACTAGTCTTTGTGGCTTGCACTTCTCACAATGTGGCAGCTAGGTTCCAAGAGGGAATATCCTGATGGGGAGCTTCCAGACAACGAGCATTCCCAAGTGAACCAGAAGGAAGCTGCATAGCCTTTTATGATCCAGCCTCAGAAGTCACTCCTGCTATATTCTATTGGTTGAAACAGTCACAAGGCAGGAGTGTCAAACTGCCATAATGTCATACAATGTCATACAATAATAATAATGATAGTAATAATAATAAATACTAGTGCTAGATGTTTGGCCTGAAAGACCAGAAAGAGGGCTTATAAGAGAAAGAACAGATGAAGGAAGATAATGAGCTCAATTATAGACCCAATGGGCTAAAGGTGACTGTGGTATATCCAAGTAAGGACATCCAGCGAGCAGTTAGTGGTATAGATGGGTCTGCAGCTCAGAGTTTCTGGGAGTCAGTAGATGGGAAAGAAGATCCTGTGGGCAATCAAGATTGGCCAGAGAGAGCCAGGAGCATGCAAAGAGAGGAAGGCCTAGGTCAGAGTCTTAAAAACGCCAACACAGAAAGGATGGACAGATAAGCTTATGAAAAGACTAAGAAAAAATAAACAGAAAACCAAGAAATTATGGTGTCACAGAAGCCATGGGAAAAGAGGATTTCAAAAAAAAATAAAATAAAATGTTGGGGACTATAGACATTTCTTCCATGAAACTCTCCAAAAATACATATCTGACCATACCACTTAACTATGCAAAACACTTCGTAAGTTCTCCATTGTTTTAAGATAAAACCCCAGCTTTATAAAATGGCTGAGAAAGCTCTCCCTGGGCTGTCCTCTTGTCCTCCATTCAGCTTCCTCTCACACCCATAGCCCCTCACGTTCTCTACAGAAACCAGTTGATGTCTCCCAGTCACCCATGTTTTTTAAAGTCTCTATGCCTTTGCACACTCTATGCACTTTGCCTCTACTGCTCTTTATTCTCCCATCTCTAGACCTAACTCCTATTCATCCTACAGAACCCAGGCTCAGTTGGGACCCTTCTTATAGTGTAAGAGCCTTATGTATATCCACCTAATAGAGTACCCATCAAACTGATATGTAACTGCCTATCTACCTGACTATTTCCCCTACCAAACTCTGAGTTTCTAGAGGGCAGCGAGTGTGTTTCATTCATCTTTTATCCCCAATATTGAGCATAATATTGGCTTGGCTCACAGCAGTTTTTCTGATTATGACCTGTTGACTGAGAAAAGATGATAGAAGTGAAAGGGACATCAGGTTGAGGGATAATTTTCAGGATTTTTTTGTTTGTTTTGGTATGGGAGAGATTTAAGCATGTTCATAGAAAGGGAAAACTGAAGGAGGTTGGGGATCTAGATAACACATGGAATAGCTGATGGGATCAGGTACTAGAGGTAACAGGAAAGGAATGGGGCAAAACCTCCACAGAATGGCCCCCATCACACTCATCCAGTAAGAATGAGGTAAGGTGGGGGGTGCCTGGGTAACTCAGTCGGTTAAGCAGTCCGACTCTTGATTTCGGCTAAGGTCAGGATCTCGGGGTCATGAGATCAAGCCCCCATCAGTCTTCATGCTCAGAGAGTCTGCTTGGGATTCTCTCTCTCCTTCTCCCTCTGCTCCTCCCCTGGCCCGTGCACACACACACACACACACACAAACGACACACTCTCACTCTCTCTCTCTCTAAAATAAATAAATCTTTTTTTAAAAAAATGAGATAAAGTGGGCACGGATGTAGATAAGTGTGCAGATAATGAAAACAGAGCTCACATTTGATGTGACAAGCTTTGTCCCTAGAGACTAATTCAGCACCTGACACAAATGAGCCATTCAGTAAATAGTTGTTAAATGAATAAATAATGAGGCCCAAGCGGAGAACTTGCACAAAGTAAAACGGAATGACTGAGCTTATACTGGCAGGCCCCTCTCCTGACTTAGAGGACCCCTAAGTTGTGCAGCTTGGCAGGGCGGGGGAAGGAACAAGGCCCAGGCTTACTTCTGAGGTATGCACCCCCACCTTCTCCAGGGACCTCATTAGAGATGTTTAGCTGGGCAGGTGTAAGCCCAGGCCCTGGGGGACAGGGCGGGGTGCTGGGGCCACACTGCCTCTGCACCTTCAGTAGGGGCTGGCCCTGGTTGTGTTGCTAAGAGCTTCAGAAGTCGGAGGCAGAGGAGTCACAGCGGGAGACCAAGGGCAGCCTCTTCCAGGCAGGCACTATAGGCAGAGGCCCTGGATACCCCACCTCCAGGCACCAGGCCACGGAAGCATGAGCCAGGACAGCAAAGTGAAGACGACAGAGTCTAGCCCCTCTGCCCCATCCAAGACCAGGTGAGAGATCCTGGTCCCCTGCGTCCAATCTGTCCACCTAACTGGATGGAGCCTGATTCTTCTTGATGTCCCCGGTGACAAACTCAACAATGAATGTCTGGTGAAAAAAATGAAACCCTGCTTCTCCTCTTCCTTCCACAGGAAGTCACTGCCTGTCCTAGACCCATCTGGGGATTACTACTACTGGTGGCTGAACACAATGGTCTTCCCAGTAATGTATAACCTCATCATCATCGTGTGCAGGTTTGGCAGGACGCTGGAAGAAGGGCCTTAAGCAGAGATAAGGGCTCAAGGGTCAGGCCAAGGAAAGGGGCAGGCCCTTGGGCCAGGCCGGAAGGAGGGGCAGCACAGAAGAGAGGGCCCAGGGCAGAGTGCTGAGTGCCTTGGGGAGATTGCCTTACACAGAGGGTGCTCTTGAGCCAATCTCTTCTGTCCCCACCACACAGAGCCTGCTTTCCTGACTTGCAACACAGTTATCTGGTGGCCTGGTTAGTGCTGGACTACACAAGTGACCTGCTATACCTACTGGATATCGTGGTACGCTTCCACACAGGTCAGTGAGCCCAAGGCTGACCCTTTGTTTCATGTTACCTTCCTAAAGAGGGCCTCTTAGTCACAAGGAAGTGACCCTCTCCTTGAGAGCACTTTCACATGTCTCCATGCTTCACAACACCCCTGTGCCCATCCCAGAAACCCTGGAGCAAGGTTATGCCCACCCCCACCCTGTCCCC